TTGGCAGGAGCAAAAAAAAGAAAAAAAAATTAAACCGGTTCCGGTGACGAAAATTGGGAACCGGACACGGTACCGGTTGAGGCGGTACCGGTACCGGTTCCAGGAACCGGTTGCTTGTCTCCGGTGACGGTGACGGTGACGGTACTCGGTACCGGCGGTACCGGCGCCGGTGACGGTATCGCACCGGTACCGTGTCCAGGCCTAACGGATACACCTAATTCAACGATAACATATTTTTCTTATTCTTTCACCAAACATCATTCTTTCAAAAATTATCTCAGATCGATGGTATGTTACCTTTCTGTGCAATTGTCAAGAATCAAATTCAAGTCTTGCTGAGTTGAAACTCTATATCTTTATCAGCTGCGTCATGCCAACTGGCTTACCGATTGGGTTCATTTACTATAAATATACGATGTTTTTTTATAAATGTGACCAGAGAGCATTACGTCTTTTTTTAGTATGTTCGTAGTACAGTGTTTTTTTGAGTTTTCAACATTAGGAAGGTTTGCGTACGCGATTGCGTCACCTTACCAATAAAAGTCAGACTACCCCATAAAATTGATTACAATTTTTTTCTTACCTCTTGTAAATTTTTGTTTATTTATATATTTTAATTAATAATTTGATTAATAAATGAAATATTCTTGTCACGAGAAAGTATATGGTACATCCGGGGTAGTACTCATTTTGAAGTAGAATAGTGCTCATTTTCGCACAAATATAATTAGCGTGGTATTCATTCTAAAATAATGCAGTACTCATTTTCACACATTGTTTCAATATAATTATAATATTCATCTACAAATAATGCAGTGTTCATTCTGAAACAAAACAGTACTCATTCTCAAATAATTTAGTGTTCATTGTCATGTAAAATAAAATCCATACCATAAATAATTTTTTAGTTGTACCCAAAATTTGGTACAACTAACTCGATGTATAATATAATTTGCCTCTTGTCACCTCTTATGTAAGTTTTTTATTAATAAGTTTTGTACTTTATTGATGTACAAATTTACAAATAAAATGATTTTAAAAAGCGTAGGAATTTATCTCGTTACTCTCAATTTGTAATCAGAATTTATTCTTGTCACCACGATTCGTTTGATTTCTGAAAAAATGGTCCCTATATGACCTTGCGACCTATGATGCTCTATTGGTAAAATGTATCATTCTTATACCCCTAACTCCCCTCCTAAACCCTATCGTGTCCCTTCTCCTGCCCCTGCCTTCCTTGATATATTTACCGAGGGAGGAGACTGGGATAATGGAAGTATGGGAGCAGGGATGGCAATTCAACCCAAACCCGAGCTTAACCGACCCGAAATTTTTTACCCGAACCCGACATCGGGTCGGGTCGGGTGTGGGTTTATTATTTTACCCGACCCGAACCCGCACCCGACCCGACTCAAACCTGAATATTTTATAACATAAAAGCCTATCTATAGATATAATGAGCACTCTGTATAATCTCTTGACAAAGTGCTACTATATCAAGTATGTCATTTATAATCATTTTTATAATTCCTTAATAAAAAAATGAGACACAAAAAAATTAGATTTAATCTTTTTAAAATTATTGGGGTACATTGAATTGATTATTGTTTAAAGTCGGGTTCGGGTCGGGTTCGGGTTTTGGGTTGGCATGTCGGGTTCGGTTCGGGTCGGGTTTTTGGTTTAAAAAGTTGGGTTTCGGGTCGGGTTCGGGTTTCGGTTTTAAAAGTCGGATCGGATTCGGGTATAGTACTATCCGACCCGAACCCAACCCGTTGTCATCCCTATATGGGAGGGGGGCTGGGTGGGGTATTTAGAAGGGGACAGTTTATGGGGGTGATGGGTGTATTTCACCCAAGACCGATCAAAGGAGGAGGACAAATCTTTGACCGGTCAATCTCGAAAGTTTTGGAAGGGAGACTTTAATCGTCAGCAAAACGATATATCATCGGCCAAAATATGACCGGTACACTTCACAAAAAGTATACCGGTCAAACTACGTTGTCATCCTATTTGTTCCGGACTTCGATAAATTCATCCCTCGGAGATTACCCGGTGTAGTTTCTGGGGTTGGAAAGTGTCGGCAGGAGAGGATCTGCGAGGG